AGAAAGTTCCTGCGTTGAGATTTATATGTGGACGAATTATTCTTTATCTCCAATAGTGCCAATTAATTCATGTAAAATGTGGGACACAAGGATATAAACATGATAATTGCTGAGTTTTTTTTGTTCATCTTTATTTGATAAAATTAAACTAACTATAAATAGAGCATTATTATTAAATATCTCTATCATTACACGTATGTGTCGCAATATTTTATTATAAAAAGTGTTTCCGCATTCCACCAAACTATACCAAATATTGTTTTAGAGACAACAAATGACATTAGAAAAAGGCGCTTGAATATCACAACGAAATTGACATTCTCTAGTAGCTCTATTCCATTAATAAGTTAGTTATTATTACCAAGTATACTAACACTTTTAATCTAGGAAGAACGAATTATTAAGTCGTTGTTCTTTTTTCTTTTTTTCTTTTTTCTTTCAAAGACAGCATTTTACCATTTAGCTTAATTTAAGTTTCTTCTCTTAGGGTTTAGCTTAGACATAAATACAAAAATGGCTTTATTTCTTCGATCCATGTATCTTTCCTTTTCTTCTATCTCAAGTTACTGATTTTCTCTAACTCGTGTCTTATAGTCTTGAGAAAGGCGTCCGGCACAAGTAAGTAGCGGGGTTGTGTAGCTCCGCGAGTAGGGCTTTGCCTGACGGACATGAGGTTTGTCTTCTCTGGCGAACCTCTCACGCCTTCCTTTGTGTGAAAAATGCTATAATAATTAATCTTGCAAACATTAATATTAATATTCTGTTACAAATACTTGAAAACAACATTTAAATAGACTGTAGTTTACCAATTACGGCTCGTTTAGTTCGTTGATTCAAGTTTTTAATTCGAGTTGAGATGTGACTTTATATGAGAGCTTTTTACTATGACAAAAAAATTAGATGTAACTGTTTCTGAGAGCTTTTTACTGTAATAAAACTTAAATTTTAAACTCAAATCGGTGAAATGAACATGTATAATATATATATATATATATAAATTCTTCTATTTTCTTTTTCTTTCTAGAAACTTATGGAGAAAGTGGGAAAAGAATCTTGATAGCTTGAGGGTGAAGACTTTCCCATTAAACCAAACACAAATCAATTCATGATTAGACCTTTACAGGAGACCTTTATATGACATATATCTATGAGTGAAGATGGATGTAACAAAAAAAAAAAAATACAATAACCGATATCTAACGGAAAAAGACCCACTTAACATATACAAAATTGAACGCAACTAAAACTCGTTAGAAAGAACTACCACAGTTGATGAATAAAACAAATCCACCGACCAAACCCAAATACTGGTGATACGGTCTAGAAACAACTCTAGTCATACATCGACAAAAACACCGTTGATAATCAATTCAGACGAGTATGGCACACAAACGAAATTGAAAGGACAGAAAACTACCTCCATTGTTAAAACACTTAAACATCGTGAAAACAATAGTGTATTTATATAAACAGAACGGAAAACATAAAAACAATGAAGATAGCACCAAACATTTGACGAAAACACCTTCCTTCTCTTGATCCAGCATCCCACGACCGTGGACTGATCTCACCAAGACCGGCCTCCACCGATCAAAGCCTAAAATCCACCACAACCGATTTGCCACTCTTATTCCTTTTTCTTTATAAACAAATAGAAGAATTGTACATGAGTAAAAGTTATGACATATATGTATATGTTTGTATGCTTGCACGTACTGTTGAGATTTGTCAAATATTCTAATTGATTTTCATGATTTGTACATTAGTTGACATTAGGTGTCCTTATCTTGATTGAGGTAAATTTAGGAAACTTAGTATAATTGGGGGAAATTATCACTCACTGATAGCTTATATCTTTAAAGAATAATCCCTATTTATATTTATGAACAAACTGATCATTGTAAATTATCAGAGAATAATTGAATGAATGAAATTTATGATCCGTTGATATAGGTAAATTGCCAGACCACGTAAAATTTCTATATTATTTCTTTTCTTTTATCTTTATTTTCTAGACATACAATAATATATATCTTTAATATGATCTGGAAATAAAGAACATGTGAACATATTATTCTCTTTTTTTGTGCATGTGAAGGAAAAAAAAATGATAAGAGAGATTCTGGAGATTATAAAGTATAAGCTGGGTTTTTAGGTCTTCTTTGTTCTGCTTATTATGTTTTTTTTTTAATTTAAAAAAAACAAAAAAAAAGGAAGTAGATAGCCATCGAGGTGAGACCCACATTGACACAGAATAAGATGTATGGTGCTTAAATGTCATTTGCAACTGTCTAGATAGTCTTTCAATAGAGTGACATTATATTGTTCTTTCTAGATCTCTTTTGTTTTTTTTTTTTTCTTTCTTGAACCTGAAGATGTAAGATATTTAAACTCTGAAGCTCGATGAATAAAAAATAACCTCTAAATTTTTTATATAAATATATATTTGCGTGCCTAATATATTTATGATCGTAAGTTTTATTAATAGCTTGTTTATTCCAAAAGTTTAAACATAAACTTTGAATAAAAATTTAATTTTTTTTAATAAAAAAAACTACTATAATAAAAAGATTTAAACGGTTGTTTAAACTCCCGAACAAAATTTTATCATATTTGCATGTTTCTACAGAATATGATTTGATACAGTCCAAGTAAAACAAAATATACCACTCATTGATAATGTAAATACAGGAAAATACGTATACAAAAGACTCTAATTGATAAGTCCACTTAAAGGCAAATGAATATGGGATGGTTGACCGTCTTTACAATCCCTACGCCCAAGAGTGCGACTTACTAATAATATTGTAGTGTTCAATAAAAACAAAAATAATACAGACAAATTGAAAATTTAAACATTTGACTTTTTTTTTGTTTGGCTCTAAAATGAAACTAAACAGTTGACCATTTCGAGTCTTTTTAGTTTTGCCATTCAATTTTCTCCGTCGGCTCCGGTGACTTCAAACTTTTCGGCCATCTAGATCTGCCCTTTTTTTTCTTCCTTTATTATTATTATTATTATTTGCTCCGCGGGAGAGAAACAAATTAGGCCCCTCTAAAAAAGAGAGAGAGAGAAGAATATGACCCTTCTAAAACTTGCAAAAAGAAAATGAAAATTGTGAATATGAATATATGTATCGAGAAGAGAATTATGTACAGTAGAAAGTAATCGTTATCTAATGTTTCAATTCGTCAAATCTCTATCACGTTTTAATTTTTGTTCCATTATTATTATTATTATCAATATTTAAATTGTTAGATATGCTTACTTATTTTGACTCTTTTTATGAGTTATTTTGACTTTTAATGTTCATACTTTAACGTATAAAACGTTCACTATCAGTAGCCGATATTTTATTTTCTTAATACAATAACGTCTAAGACTAGATTTTAGTGTGTAAATTGCCACATATGGAAAAAAGTATATTTCATTTTATATTTTGCCACGAAGAAGAAGCGTGGGATTTTAAGAAAATGAACAAGTGTAGGATATTTGTTGCATATATTACAGGTCTTGCATGTATGAAAGGTTGTAATTTGAATTTGTGGTGGTTATAGTTTAATGGGAAAGGAATAAAAGGTCATGGAAGGAGAGTTTGAATTCAAACTTGGGAGAATGATTTGAAAAAGGCGGTGGTGTAATGTAATGATCATTGGCAGCTCACGATGCATATGATGCGGATCTCCTAGCGTTTACATTGCCTACCACATAACTAGTGATTTTTTTTGTTTTTTGTTTTTTTTGTTTTTTTGCTGTGAAATGACCAACTAACTAGTGTTTTGGTTCCATGTGTTGGGAAAGACAGAAGTGGGTCTCTCCCATTTTCCATGTCGCCAAATAAAACCAAAGTGGAAAGACAAAAGTTGGTCCCTCTCAATTTGAGTTAAAAATGAACGGAGAAAATGGTGTTACATGCAATTCTGTTGGCCGTGTTTGGAATTATTCTGTTTTTGTTTTTTACATTTTTCGAGAAAGAAAAAATGAAAATGTTTTTAAAACGACGTTTGGCGCAATAAAGACAAAAAATAAAAATGAAAACGATTTTTTGGTATAGTGTAAAATGAGATAGAAATAGAAAATGACTTTTAGTCGTTTTTCATTTTTTGTTTTCATTTTTTTCTCTCTCGAGCAGAGAGAGAAAGAGAGACATTAATGGGTTTTTTTTTACACTGAAAATAATCTCTTGATAAAATTATCAAACGCATTTTCAAAAATGATTTCTGTTTGAGATTGAAAACGTTTTCATTTTCATTTTCATACAAAAAATAAAATCATTTTAGAACGAGTTCTAAACGCGCCTGTTGTGTTTTTCTACATCTTTCAACGAAAAGTCTAACAAACAAACTATCTGATTGCATTTAGCCATATTTTTATGTCTGTTTTTATTTTTATTTTTATTTTTTTTACTGAATTGTGAACAAATAATAGTTTAATACTTTAACATTAAGACTAGAATTCCTTAACGAAAACACTTGATAACATTAGGGGAAAGCTCGTAGTCTTCTGGTAACTTTTTTACTATTTCCAAGTTCAGTTTAAGCTTATAAATTTGAGGACAAAAAATCATTTACATTGAGGCGCTCTTTTTTCCTACATTGTACAAAGTTTGTAAATTGCTGGGATTACTAAACCACAAATGTTCACCACTGAAGTAAAAGTCGCTTAGCAAGTATAAAATGTCGCAACGGCTCAAGCCTCCAAATTACAATTTGGTACCTCAATATTTCCACAAGATGTCCTTAAATCTAAAGTCAATCTCAAATTGCCAATAGCTAGTACGAAAACTTTATAACCGTAAGTGGATAAGATTTCCAATTTCTTTAGGCAACTACCATGAAGTTCCAAGAGCCTCGGAATAGTTTCTAAGTCTCAAAACTCGTGTGCGTTTAGAGCAAGGATCCATGCCATGGTTCAGATCATGATTCGTGGCTCGTTACAGTATTTTCTCTCAGAGAAAATACACGTAAATCGAGAATAATTCTGAATCATAATTATGAATCTATGAACTAAACATCCACGTCTGAATGTAATTGAACCGAGGTTTCAGTATTTTTGAATTAGCCATAGAGTTCTGATCAGATTTATAACTATGAGAGACCTAAGAAAGCCATTTCCATTATTAAAAGAGGGAAGAAAATCACTGAAATAATGATTCCTCATAGATGGCAAGTCTTCGTACCTTGTTTTTTTGGCCCTACTATTGGTTCTGCAGCAGAGGACATAGAATTTGCTACTACATTGTCTTTATTCCTCAAATCAGCAAATTGCATAAAGTTTTCCTCTTGAGCCTTTTCCAAGCTCAGATTCCGCATGAGATCATGAATGCGGCACGATTTAGGGCCCGTTTAGTTCGCTGATTTAAGATTTTAATTCAAGTTGAGGTGTGACTTTATGTGAGAACATACTGTAACAAAAAAGTTAAATGTGACTATTTTTGAAAGTTTTTTACTACAACAAAACTCGAATTCTAAATTCGAATTAGTGAAATGAACGGGCCTTTAATTCTTTCGGTTGAATCCAATGTTCCTACTTGAATCATATTTCTGTCTATTAACTCACTCAAGTAATCATATTCTACATCCTCGACAATTATTGTTGAACTCTGTGTTTGTTGATCTAATGATCATATGAATACTCCTGCTATCCAGGAATAACACAATTGTTTGACCTTTATCTCATGATCTTCAGGGAAATGAGCAAAGTGCAAAAAACATGGCTTTAAGTGATATGGCATTCGAATTGATCATGTGATTAGCTGTCAGCATTCGAACTGTACATGTGTGCTTCACTAGTACTTCATTTTTAACTCGTAATAAAAACAAGATTGCTATTAATATGTTAAAACACCGTACCTACATATATTTATATAAATATATATGGGGTAAATATTGGCCAAAAAGTCAAATCGATCGCTAAAATTGGGAACATATCACGTAGAAAATTTGAGTTACACCTTGATTTTTTGTTTTTTATTTTCACGGTGTAATTTAGAAGGATAGATGGTGATGGTCATGATGAGCAGCGGCAGCAGAGGTGGAAGCAGCTGCGGCGGGCGTGGTGACGGCGTTGCGTTCGGCGTGGCAGAGCTGGCGGAGCTTGGTGGGGACGTACCAAATGGAGAGGCGGGGGTGGGCATTGAAGATGGAGTCGATGTCCCAGGCGGCCTGGCGGGCGGCGATGGCGACGAGGGGGTTGTAGCAGGCCTGCCTCCAGGCCCCGACATTCTCGCCGCGCTCCTTGTAGGCCCGCCGCAGGGCGTTGGAGCCCTCCTCGTCCAGGCAGTGCAGGGCGTAGCAGTGCACGTAGTGCCGCATCTTCGGCTTATTTATGTGGCTTGCCCCTGCCTTCTTTGCAAATAAAACCAAAGTGGAAAGACAAAAGTTGGTCTCTCTCAATTTGAGTTAAAAATGAACGGAGAAAAGGGTGTTAAATGCAATTCTGTTGTTTTTTTTTTTCTATATCTTTCAACGAAAAGTCTAGCAAACAAACTATCTGATTGCATTTAGCCATATTTTTATGTCTGTTTTTTTACTGAATTGTCACAGAGAGGGTTAACCGATGATAAACTTAAAGTTTAGGCTGTAAAGGGACATATTTTAAAGTTTAAAAGACAATATAAGGGCGACCTTATAGTTCAGGGTGTTAGTGAGAATAACTCATAAAATAATTATAATTGCATGAAAGATGTAAAAGATTTTTTTTTTAATTGTAGTAAATAGCAGATTTGTGAAACTAATTTAAGTAAATAGATGATGTTAAAATTATTTGAAGTAAATAATAATTTATCATGTAAATTTTTCATTTATGACTAGAAAAAAATAATTTACATGTTAAAAAACCTTTATTTACGTAGAAAAAAATCTTTTTATGAGTCGTAAAAAAAGAATTTATGAGAAAGAAAAATCTTTTTACAAATCTTAAATACAACATTTACACATTAAACTGTTATTTATCCTAAATAATTTTAAAATCTTTTCAATTATTTACTATAAATCTTCACTTCATCCTTTATGCGAATCCATCGGGCGAGGCGTTTTAAGTTTTTCATTTTCTATGTATTTAAATAAGGAGCTTAGGAAAGGTCTAACTAGGGGTGTTCGTCGATTCGGTTTTGTCGGTTTTGGTCGGTTCGGTGGCCGAACCGACTATGTCGGTTTTCTAAAAGTTAGAACCGAAACCGAACCGCACCTATCAATTTCGGTTCAGTTAACCGAATTTCGGTTTCGGTCGGTTTTGGTCGGTTTTCAGTTTTGGTAATCAGAAGGATGACCTCAGTTAATCATTAGGTTACCAGCATTTTTGACCCGTAAGTATGAAAAAATGTAAAATTTTCCTTCAATGTGAAGTTGCAAACACGTAATCATAATAAATGAATACAAGCACAACATCAAATTTGATAATTGCACAAACACAAGTTTAAAAACATTTAAATTGTCGTAAGTAAAACAAAACAAAAATATAAAAAAAAAAAAAAATCCCATCTCGGTCGGTTCGGTTTTAACCGACTCTCTACACAGATCTTTTTACAAATTTTAAATACAATATTTACACAGTAAACTGTTATTTATCCTAAATAATTTTAAAATCTTTTTAATTATTTACTATAAATCTTCACTTCATCCTTTATGCGAATCCATCGGGCGAGGCGTTTTAAGTTTTTCATTTTCTATGTATTTAAATAAGGAGCTTAGGAAAGGTCTAACCACGGTTCCACGTGGCACCGTCATTTTCAGTTTTGAGCGGTCGGTTTTCGGTCGGTTTCGGTTTTACGATTTTTTTGTACACTCCTAGGTCTAACCAGGAAAGGTCAAAACAACCTGCCTTTACTTCTTCCCTCAGACAAGCAACATTCACCTCATTGGATTATATATTTTCAACGCCTTTATTATGGTGTCAATCTTTTCATACAATTGACTGAAATTTGTAAGTTTACAGATAAGTCATTTTTTTTTTTATCTTTTAACATTGATTTTGAATTTTGCTTTTATTCCCTTATTTATAATTCTTAATTTTTAATCTTTTAATATTGATTTTGAATTTTGCTTTTATTCCCTTATTTATAATTCTTAATTTTTTTCAGGTTCAATTTAATATCTCCAACAATATACGTATATATGTACATAGTTTCTTTTTGTTTCTTGAAAGTGATTGTATTTGCCCTACTGATGTAAGAACAATAATTTAAAAGAAAAAATTATCTTCATCTCAAATGCAGAAATTTCACCACGAGAAAATGGAATATATACCACACATATATATACATATATTTATGTATATTATTCAGAGTGAATACCATCTATTTGTAAATGATAAGATCTCACTAGATGTATTCGATCCTATATTATATAAAAAAAAATTTCAAAATCTATTAGTTTTTAGGAATTGAATTCAAGGATTTTATAAATTAGAACCTTTAAACTTAATAAATATAATAAACATCCGTATAAAATAAACAACAAAATATAGTCTTTTATCATTTATTAATATTACTTTAAAGTTCAAACGAGAACATGTAGACAACGACAATTAGATGAAAGATGATTTTCACTTTCAAAAAGACAATATCCTTAGCTACGCGATGTGTAAGTTTGTATGATGTGTAATTCAATAAATCCTACATGGATAACAAAACAGACCATTGCTTTTCATTTTGAGGTCGTGCAGACTTCGGTTTAAGTTTTGAAACTTCACATCTTTCCAGGTCAAAACTCACCATAGGTGCATCTTATTGCTTTCACAATGATGAGTAGTAACTAAGATTTTCTTTTGTTACAGGTTTCGTGTGTATGATGTTGATACTCAGTTCCACAATGTTGATGTGAAGGTACAATCTTATGAAGCTTGGCTTGCTTGAAACAAGCAATCTGTATTTAAATCTTTATCACTATTAATTGATGATGAAAGAAGTTATTACTTCGTTTACTTGTAACTAGCATTATGGATGGATTATTTGTGCAGACGCTTAAGCTGGATGAGCAGCAATTCCTTGGTGAGGGAACTTGTACACTCTCTGAGGTATAACAAAAATATATGGGTTTATATTCACTTTCTTTCGCTGCAAGGCTCTTCTAATTCCGACTTTCAGATTGTTCTACAGTGGAAAGAAAAAAACAAAAACTTTCTTGATGAAAAACCAAAGCTATAGCTCTCTCTCCCTCAAAAAAAATAAAAAAAAAAAAAAAAGATGAAAAACCAAAGCTATAGCTCTCTCTCCCTCAAAAGAAAAAAAAATCTTGCTATAGAAGTTCTTATGCAACGAAAACCTTGTTTAATGTTCGGTAGTGAAAATATACATATTGGGACTTTAAGATCCATGATACAATTTGTGTTTATGATACAATGACGACTTCCTTTATAGTTCCATGATGGGTCTTTGGGACTTGATGATCTGTGGGAAGCTTGCTATTTCTATGGGAAGGATAGAGATTGGCGATAACTTGTTGCGTCCAGTTAGTTTTATAATGAGAACCTCTTTGATGTTCTAAAGAGATAAAACGCTTGTAACTTGCAAGTTTTTTAAAAAGGTGAGGTGTGGGAAGGAAGAGTGCCCCGCTTTGGAGGGAGAGGCTCATATACAAGAGACCAATTCGACTTATTAACAAGTTGCCATATTACAGAGAAAAAACAAAAAATGTTGTCATATAATGAAATCCTCCGTGAATGCTATACATAGACTGCATGTTTAGTTTTTGCAACAGGTGGTTGAGGGGAACACCGTATTAAGAGAGAGAACCTCACATAGATTAAGTATCTCCTCACATAGATTAAGTATCTCTCCATGTGATAATATAGCAACAGAGAAAAAATGGCAACAGGAGGGGGGGTGTGTTGTTTTAGGAAAAGAAAAAAAAGGGAAGGAGCATGCTTCTGTTTTGCTCTAGGATATTTGGTTACTAATACAAGTGAGTGGAACTTATTTATTCAAAACTAACTTCATCTAAAGCTCTGCCGTCTCATGTGTCTGTAGGAAATCGCAAATTTCAAGTCCTTTTCCATAAATGTTCTTTCTATTCATGCAGATAATGATTAGGCAAGACAGGTCATTGACCATAGATCTTTTACACAGAGAAGAGTCAAACAGAGGAAATCATTCTCGAAACTGTGGAAAAATTACCGTGCATGCTGAGGAGTCTGCTAGCTCAAAGACTACGATAGAAATGATATTAAGTTGTTCAGACTTGGAATATAAGGATCTCTTCTCAAGAAGTGTAGGGACTACTGGTTTCTTACGTCTTACTCTCTCCTTTCTTTGGAATTAGTATTTAATAATTTCCATGCATTGTTTGAAAATGAAAAAATTCAAGTGGATGTTTTGTTTTTTTTTTTTTTTTTTTTTTTTCTTGTGTGTCTTGTAGGACCCTTTTTTGGTAATATCAAAGATCGTGGAGGGTGGGGCCGTGATTCCTGTTTGCAAAACAGAAGTCATAAAGAATGAGCTCAAACCAAAATGGAATCCAATATTTTTGAGTATTCAACAAGTTGGAAGCAAGGTGAGTCATATATACTCCACACACCCCCCACACCGCCTCCCAAATCAAGTTCTGCTACGTTCATTGCTCTGTTATTGTCATTATCATTATTATTATAATTATTATTTTATTAAGACCAAATGCTCAAGTTTCTGTATGCTTGTTGGGTTTTAATGTCAATGCGTCTAATATGAATGTTACAAATTTTGACTTCTAGTTTTTTTTCTATCTTATAAAGAGTTCTTGGCACTTCTTCTGGCAAGTC